ACTTAGGAAATATAATATTTATTTGGGATTTAAAAAGAAAAAAGAAAGAAAACAACACGGCAAACAACACATCCATACGACAGAATGGAAGCAGCTGTTGAGACAACACCTTTGTGGGACATCACAGTCATCGGCACAACCACTGCTGCAGGGACAGCAGGTGAGACGCCGTCCCTTGGGGTGCTTAGAAGACAGACAGACAAAAAATAAAGCTTCTCTCCCCTCGGTGGCCTTTATGGACGTCTTTCACCAAAATAAGCCAGCAGCCCAAGGGGAGCCAAGGCCACCTCCAACCCAACGTTGGGTGCAGTGGGATGGGCGCACCCGCCTGCTCCGTGGCACCAAGCACAGGGACAGCTGCCACCAGCTTGGCACGAGTCGTGGGCATGATGACACGCAGGGAATGGTGACGGCGTGGCGTGGCTCCTTCCACGTGCCGTGGTCATTGAGCAAATGCTGACTGCAGCTCCTTGAAGGCTGCCTTGCGCTGCTTCATCTCCTCCGCCTGCCTCCTCTTCTCCTCCTGCTCTGCACGGATCTCCTCCTCGAAGCGGCTGCCCTCGGTGACCGCCTGTGCCTGGGGATGGTGACACATCGGCCCTGTCCCCATTGCGTGCAGTATGGTGGCACGTTGGTCATGTCCCCAACGCCCAATGGTTGCTGCTGTGTTGCTCAACACTTACCTTGGCCTCGAAGAAGCTCTTGGCTCCCTTCACGCCCTCCGTTGAGACGTCAATCTCGGAGAGCCGTGCCAGTGCATGCAGCCCACTGTCCTCCTGCAGCTCACCTGCTGCTGCCTTGCGGAAAATCAGCAGGAACTGCAGCATGGGGTGGGATATCAGCACCAGGGATGTGGCATCCAGCTCCTTGCCGAGGGACACAGCCACAACCCAACCCTTGCTCTCACCTCACGGAAACTCAGCTTGCTGTCCAGGTCCTCGTCCACCTCCTTGATCATGTTCTTCAGGCCCAGGTGGGTCTGCGGCGCTCCCAGCTTCTCCATCATCAGCTTCAGCTCCATCAGGTCGATGAAGCCATCCTTCCCTGCGTCATACCTGCGGGGAGGTGGTAAATCCTCATCACGGGGCACATCCTCACTGTCGCGTTGGGCTGCTGTGCCAAACCACTGCTGGTTCTATCCAACCACTAATGGTTCCCAGGAGCATCCTCAGCACTCCCTGCCCATGGAGTGTGGTTTCTGGCACGGGTACCCAGCAGCTTGCTGCCAAGTGTGCCACCAGCTCCGTGCAGCCTGTAGGACTGAGCTGGGCTCTATAGGATGCACTTTCCACTTCTCTTTGCTCAGCCTACAGGAAGCGACATGCAGCTCTGCGGGGCTGTGACTCATTTGTCCCCGCAGCCGCAGCATGGTGCAGCTCACACTGTGCCCCAGCACAGAACCCTCGTGCTTTCCTGCTGGCATCGCAGGGCTGTGAGCTCCGCTGCTGCAAAGCGAGCCCCTGGCTGCAGCTCTGCATCCACTGGGGCGGGCTCTCCTGCGTCGCAGTCCTTTAACGCAGCGGGGAAGGTGGGAGAGAGGACAAACCATGCATGCAGCGAGGCAGGGGCTAGGCTTGGCCCCACACCGTCACCCCATCCCCATGCTCCCCCCCCTTGGTGAGCCCCCTTTGCTTCCTCTCGCTGCGGTGCGTGCAGGCGTGCACGTCCTGCTCTGCAACCAGACCCCGTGCTGCTGCCATCTGCCCGCGGGCACAGCACCCACGGCCACATGCTGCACAGTGCATAGGGCTGGGGGGAGGCTGATCCCCTCCTCCTACAGCCCCTATTTTCCCCCTGCACATTTCCACGCCTTTCTGCTCAGCTCCCCCCCCCCCCCCCCACTGACCCAAGCTTGCAACATCACACGTGGGGACACGTGGGGATGGCACCGAGGATGTGACAACACCACTGCCGCAGCCCAAAGCCGTGTGCATAGCCAGGGTGGGGGTCTTGGGGCTGGGGGGTCCCGTGTCCCTTTTCCAGACTGCTCTGAGGGTCCTGGGATCCCCTCTGCAAGGTTGTGAGGGGGTTGCATCCAGTGGCACCCTTCTGTAAGAGTTTGGAGGGTGGGAGGATGGCTGCAAGGAGCTGAGAGGGGGTCTTGAGACTCAACTCCTGCGCAGAACTGGGGGGCATCGTGGTGAGCCAAGGGGGGTCCCATGGATTCCTTCCACAGGGAGCCAAGAGGGGGTCCCAGGGATGAGAAAATGAGGGGAGCCCCCTGCAAGGAAGTGGGAGAACCCCAGAGATCTCCCCCTGCAGAGGAGTCCAAAGGACCCCTCCCACCATCAGCCAAGGGCTGGGCGGGTTCTGCAAAGGGGCTGGGGGCTTCCATAACCGCCCCCCTCTCCCTCCACCCCCGCGCAGTTCCCAACCAGAGGCTGCAGGCTTCCAAAGCATAGGGGATGCGATCGGGGCAATGGGGACCCTCTGTCCGGTGCTCCCTCCCCGGGGTCTCTCCTGAGGGTCCCATGGGGGGGGTTTCCCCTCCACACTCACTGTCGGAAGAGTCTTTCCATGTCACGGAGCTGCCGCCGGGAGAACTCACGGAACTCCGCCGCGGGGCTGAAGAGCCTCCGGCCGCCCCCGGGCGAACCTTCGCTGCCCACCGCCCGCATCGCTGGGCTGCCAGGGGGCACCGGGGTGGGCTCCGCATCCTGCTGCTGCTGCTGCTGCTGTTGCTGCTCCGCATCCCCTTCCCGCATCCCCAACCGTCGGCCCAGCCGCTCCGCCAGCTCCTCCGCCATGGTGCCCGGATGGATGGATGGGCGAACAGACGCAGCTCCGCCCCGCTCCGCCCCAGCAGCCGCCTAGCAAAGGGGGGGGGACGCATCTTTTCGGGGCACCCCCAGCACCTCCAGGCTCGGGGGTTGCCAGCCTGCGAGTGTTCCCCCCCTTAGGGTCCCACCAGCATTGTTTGATGGTAGACGGATGGCACAGCCCAACCCAAAGCCCCTGCAGACACAGGGTGCAAGAAGGCCATGGATGGGCTTCCAGCTCTGCGTCCACGGTATTTGGATCCAGGGGTTGCCCCAAAGTTGAACACAACCATGCTCAGATCTACAGGACAGCACCTGACCCCAAAACCTGCAGCAGGAGCTGCCCGTTGCACCCCACTGGGTACTCAGGAGCACCATGCCCCACTCAGGGCACAGACCTGGCCCTGCTCTCCCCAGACACGTTCCAGTGCCACATAGTGTAGGGCGAGCACAGCTCCTTCTCTGCCTTCTTCCCATCTGGCAGTGCCTTGTTCCAGCTTCTCTCCCTTGCCCCCTCTTTTATTCTCCCTGCGCCCCCGTGATGCTGCGGGGACGGAGGAGCCGCCGTGGCACAGAGATCAGACTTGACACCATCAGCTTCACCCACACATTCTGGCTGTATTCACATAAGCTGTCTTCTGCCACTTTCCCTAAGCTCTACAATACACATCCTGCAGGATTATTTGGCCCTGGGCATGTCACTGTCCTTCTGGCAGTCCTGGTCACTGTAGGATGGCCTCACATAGGCGTTCTTCCCCCCGATACGTGCCTACATGGTGCCATGTCCAACCCCAACACAGTTCCTCGCTGTACAGCTCTGTGAGCAGAACGTCCTCGTGGTGCTGCTCCTATGGGCTGCCCATCACCTCGAGCTCTCCCACCACACGCTCCCTTGACTTCACCAAGAGGGATGGCTGCTGGGCTCCGGGCTGCAAAGCAGACATTGCATAAACTTAGGATCACAGAATCATTACGGTTGGAAAAGACCTCTGAGAGACCATCCAGTCCAACCCCAACCCACCGTGCCCACTGACTGCATCCCTCAGTGCCACATCTCCACAATGAACACTTCCAGGGCTGGCCTGCCACGTGTGGGAGAGAACACGGCACAGAACCATGCATCATCCCCTTACATGAGATGTGCTCCCTGTGGCCACGGACATCTTGCTTCCAAGTCCCACTGTGCTTTGCTTTCAGTGCATAGCAGCCTGCCATACCTTCCCTCCACGTTCTTTAGAAGAGTGAGCACGGTTGGGCAGCTCCTTTTCCTTTCTCTTCTCCCCATTCTCTGCAAGGCTCTGGATAAAAACATGGAAAATCATCTTTGCATCCTTGCAGGAGCTGCCTTGGTTGTTCTCACACTGACGTTTCCTACCCCAGCACTCCCACCTTGCGCTGCCGTGCTGCCTTTTTCAACCTCTTCTCCTGGCCCAGCTCTGCCCTCGTCCTCTCCAGAGCCTCTCTCAGCAGAGCTTTCTCTTCTGCTTCCCTGTAGACTTCATCTTCCAGTCTCAGCATCTCTTCCTGGCATGTTTGCAGGGACTCTTGGTTCAGCCTTTGGGAAACACCAATGTGGGTCTTTCACCACCACCCCAGCCCCTCTCTTCCTGCCTGAACCAAGATGAAACCTCCATTCGTGGTTTTCCCCCTGTGCACCCCATATGGACACCCCACTGATGCTGCCTTGGCTGTGGTCCCTTCCCTGGCATTTCAGAGCCCATCTCCAACATACCCAAAGCAGAGCCCGGCGTCCGTGGAGTGGGGTTGTGGATTCCTGCTGCCCCATTAAGCCATAACGTGCTACAGGCTCTCACACCATCACTCCTGGGAGGAACCCCCATCACCTTGCTGTACCTGAGCTGCTTGATGCTGGTCTCACACTCTTGGAGCCTTTCCTCCTTCCTTTCCAGGCGATCCTTCAGCTTGCTGATCCTCTCATACAACAGCCCCAGTTCCCTCCGTCTCTGCTGCCCCACTTTTTCCCTTTCTTCCTGGGGAAGATGCTCCATGGGCTGCATTCCTTCCAGCTCCTTCATATTCATCAGCCTTCCCAGAGCACAGATTAAATCAAGGTACTGCAAAAAGAATAGAGGATGAATTATTTACCAGGCCTGCCAAATCTTACTTCAAAAACGATTGCTGCACTCAGACATCTGCACCCGCTCCGCTTTCATCTTTCGAGAGATTCAGATGCTGCATGTAAACCTATTTGTGCACTCCCAGTTTCGTTTCTACATCGTTTCCCCTCTTAAGGAGTTACCCAGATGGGTTCATTCATTTGATCACTGGGAAGATGATGCCCCACATTATGGAGTGTTCCACAGCAGGGGGTTGGAACTGGATGATCTTGGAGGTCCCTCCCAACCCGACCATTCCATGCTTCAGTGATTCTTTTACCACATCTGCTGCAGACGTACCATCCTCTCGCTGAGCTCTGAGTCTTCCAACCCTTCCACGCTCACGGCCCCACATGAGCTGCCATCAGGAAGTTGGCCCAGACACTGCGCAGAAGCGACATGCTGATTGAGCTCCCTGCACACTGATGGGCCCCACGCCTCCCTCCTGGTTTCTTTTCCCTCTTGTATCCCAAGGGCTTGATCTTCCCATTCCATTGAACATCTTTACACCAATGTCTACTTACCTTGCTGCACTTGAATTCTGCACCTGGCAGTGGAGTTGGTTCCACCTTGAGTCCTGCTTTCTGGGAGACCTTCTCTGGTAGGGCTGCCTTCTGTACCATGAGCAGCTCGCTGGCCCTGCCCATGACAGCTGAAGGAAACCAAACACCGTGGAATCATGAAGCTGAGGATGCCCCATTCCTGGCGATGCCCAAGGCCAGGTTGGATTGGGCAGCCTGATCTGGTGGAAGGGCAACCAGCCCACGGCATTGGGTTGGAATTTGGCGACCTTTAAGGTCTCTTCCAACCCAACTGTTCCAATTCTATGATACAACACCGGCTCTGAGACTTGCCAGGTGCAAAAGCTCCAGCCAGGCCTGCAGTTGCATCTTCCATTCCTACCAAAGCCACATCACACTGTGCTTACCAGCAGCCTGTGTCTTCTCCAGCACCTTGATCCTCTCCCGGAGCTCCATCAAGCCTTCTTTTTGCCGTTGGATCGTCTCCTCGTGCCTGAGGCCTCTGCATCTCACACCCAGGTTGGCCAGGTCCAATGCCAGCTCCTGGAAGTCCAAGCCCGGATGGTTCTCACCCAACCCAACCATTTATCCACAATCTCACACGTTATTCCCTTTTACAACACATCTGTGCACTCACACTCACGTTTCACCCTCCCAGCCCCACCAGCACGACGACTGACCTGTTACAGAACAGGGTGAGCACCCAATTAAAACCCTAATGAGAGCTGCCAGCTGCCACCATGATCTCACCATCTTCACACTGCAGTGACAATTTATTCTCCTCTGGAGGATTTCTAGCTTCGTGTTTCTCACCACCTCTTGCTGAGAAGGAGGAAGGCACTGCCTCCTGCTCCCATCTAGCCATGAGTCACCGCTTGGCCAACACGAACCCTTCCAGCTGGCACCATGTCTGCCGCTGTTTCGGTACAGCCTGTACCATTTCTGCAGTCCCTCCATCTGCTGCTGGAACCACCTTTGATTTATTCAGTTCTCTAAGACTCAGGAATTCAGACGGTGACTCAGCACAGCATGGGAGAACTAGGACTGTTTCTCCCTTTCCTGCACAACAAAATACGGCTCCCAAACGCTCACCCCAACCTACTTTTGCCAAAATCTATTGCGGAGCAAGGTTGGGAAAGGGATGGAAGAGTTACAGATCTTTCAGGGAGCTGTTACAACTCTAATTGCCAATTACAGCTGCCGTTAGCATACACAACATCTGACTTTTTCAACGTGTCCCTGCAGGATTACCTGCTCAGAGGATTCCTCTGGTGTGGCAGGAATAGCCTGCGCCTGTGGAAGCATCTCCAGCTCTTCTGCCATTCGTCGAGATGCATCCTTGAGTGCTTTGCAGTCCTCTTGGGCTTCCCTGTGCCAAGAGACAGCAACCACGGTGTATGTCAGAGCATAGCATCAAGCAGGGATTTCATTACAAGTCCATTTGCACGAGCTCCTCACCATCTCACCTTCAGAACATGGGACGTTTCCATAGAGTTAACGTAGCTTAGCTCAATTTGTTCTTACTCAAACCTATCTTTTGCCCCATGGAAGTTACCAACACACACTCAACTCTTGGGAATCCACAGGCCATCACCTCCCAGCAGGTCTTACCTTAACTCTGCAGCTGCTGCTTGAAGCTCTCGATCCTTCTTTGCCACGAGGTCTGACATCTTCAACAGCTTCCCCCTGAGCATGCTCAGCTCACGCTCCTGGCTTTTCACGCGGTGCAGGCTCTGCTCCAGCTCTGCCTTCTGCTTCTCACTGAGCTCTCCTAAGCACAGCAGAGTTGCCATGGGTTCATGACTCTCTCTGTGTTCAGCACAGCAGCATCTGTAGTTTGGTTTGATGGTTGAACCTGATGATCTTGGTGGACTTTTCCAAGCTTACTATGACTATGATTCTGCGACACGGTTTAGTGGGCAGGGTGGTGATGGGTTGGCAGTTGGACTTGAGATCTCAGTGGTCTTTTCCAATTTTAATGATTTTATGATTCTACGCAATTTACATGGCCAAAGGGAACGGACATCCTGCTTAACCCAGGGCTGAACAACAGCATCATTTAGGAAAGTGGGTCTATTTCCTACTACCTGTGCATGCCTTTCTCCTACTTAGCCTTGCCATAGCTCTGCAGGAATGGGAACAGGCTGGATATCACACACACAGCTCACCAACCTCTCATGTCTGACATCCTGGCCCTGGTTTCTGAGAGCTCCTTCGTTAATCCCACAATGGCAGCCTCTTTGGCCTGGAGTAAGCCCTGCATGGCAGCCAGCTCTTCTCTGAAATTTGTGAGAAAGATACTCACAAATCTCATAGCTTCCAAGAAAAATTCATTTTGCAGAATCTGTGC